TAAAAGGTTGCAAGTGGCCATCTAAGGCATGACAATTGGTCTTTATTACCCTGGAGCAGTAGTGCAAGGAGGGTCAGAAATAAGGGGGAGGATAAGGAATGTGTGACTAATTATCTCTACGAATAACTGCCTCTTTGCCATGAAACCAGAAGAACTGGATGAACATTCTCATCAACGATTCCATAAAAGAATCCTGATCAAAAGGAGGAAAATGCAGAACAGAATTTCAAATTCTCTTTCTAGAGCCATGGAGGGTAGATGAACCCTTGAAATTATTGCCCTGAGATCACGTTTAAACTTTAAACCAAAAATATCCACTGAAGTCATTTGAAATCCAAACAACAGTTTAGCTTAACTAGCAAAAAAGGTCTGCTTTGAGCTTTATGCTCTTATTAACTGTCTAAGGAATCAAACTGAGAACAGTAACTAGAAAGATTAAATAGGAACCTAAGGGGTCAGTGAGTTTATGTTAACGAGGGAGGAACAACCAGAAAAGGAGGGTGAGAATGGATGCACAATTCGAAGAATGTAATCAAGGTCACTGAATTGTACATACCGGAGTTGTAGAATATGTGTATGTTTTGCTGTGTATATCCTCAACAATAAAGTAAGTAAAATGTAGGGGGAAAAAAAAAGCAAGCCGTGGCTCGATGCTACCCCATAGCGACTGTGAAGCCCTTTCCATCAGTCAAGTTTTCTTTGCTATTAATGTCCCCTTTTTTGCTACTATCCTCCCTCTTTCTTTGCTCCCTTTCCCATTAGCCTAAGGCCTCACCAGTATCAGGAGGCAGCCTAACAACTCCCCGAGTCAACCAACTCCCACCCAACCCACGTCATGCAACGTCCTTCCAGTACCAACTCAACGTGACAGGCCTATATTGTGGCCCTCACATTAAAAATAGAAGCCACAAAGGAAGAGTTAACTAAATAAAAATTTTCTGATAATGAACATGTATTGTTTTTTCAAAATATGAAAATGAAAAATCCCTTTTGAGTATTTTAATGTTCTTCTCATAAACCTTTCTATATTTTAAAAAAGTATTTTTTAATACACGTTTTTTTATTTCAGAAAAAAAATCAGTTTTATTTAAAAAACAGAAAGGAACTTTTTGGACTCAGTCTACATTGATCTGCTGGCCCCTTCTACTGTATGCCTGGTGCTGCAGGAGTCCCTACATTTTTTGTCCTGTGCACGTCTTGGCTCTGAGCCACAGAAGAAACACACCTACAAGGGGATTCAATGGAATTCACAGCCAGTGAAAACGCAACCGGGACACTACAAGCAGCCCAAGAGCTGGATGATCACAGAAGTAATGCGACCCCTTTGGCCCTCAAGATGCTGATATGGACACAAAGCTAGACCAGTCTTTGAATGGGCCTGAAGTGTAAGATTTACAAGTCTTTGGGCAAGGGAGTCACCTAGTAAATTATGAAATTGTAGGAAAGAAGAAAATATCTCCCAATGTTTTTATAAATGCTAACAAAATTCACTGGCCCCAAAACCCACATGGGGAGCTGAGCACTTACCCTGAAGAGGGTCAGAGGCTTCTTAAAGCAGTTTCAGACCAGGCTGCACTGGGAAAGCCCTCTAGGCTACAGCTTTACAAATAAGCAATGAGGCCAGAAAACCAAGCTCTCCCCCCTTACACACCTGTGGGGAGAACACGAGAGCCCTTTACCCCAGTACACAGGGGCACCAAGGTAGACAGACAAAAAGCCTAGCAGCCCTCTTCACAACGTGTAGTTTACCAGAACCAGAGTGCAAGGCTTGCCAGGACGAGACTTCCTAGTGTCTAATGTCCCCACTTAAGTCTGCCCTCTAAAAACAGAGAGCAAATGGAGAGAAACTGGCTAGCTACATCAACACCTGTCATTTGGCCCATCCACCCAATTTTATTCCTCCCCAGTCCAGCAAAACCCCACCCACCCACCCATACCCTGGCAGTCCCTTTCTTACTTGATCTTCCTGAACTCATCACAGTCACAGAGGATCAAGTTCATGTGTTTGTCAAAAGCCTTGAAGGTGCCGATGAAGATGCGGCCGTCCTGCAGAATGCACCTCATCCTGTAGTCGATGTGCTGCAGCATCTTGCTGCTCTTGCCCACAGTCTGCAGAGAGAAATCAGCGGAGATGAGACTCAAGTTCTCCTGGGCCCACACACCCTCGTCTTTTCTGAACTTGGGCCATGGCCTTTTTATCCACGCTCTATCTCTCTAAATAGAATCTCAGTTCTTCCTGCCACCCCTTCCCTGGACTATTCCCATGCCACTCTGTTTCCAGCCCTGATCCCAGCCCAGAGCTCTGTTCCTCTCACTTCCCTTTTAATCAGATTGGGTTTTGATTAAACCTGTAATTGCCTTTGCCTGTGCTGTGCCACAGTTTTCAGGGCTGAGAGTGGAGGATGTCTCCAAACTAATCAAATCCACCCATACTAGAGATTAGCCATCTGCCATAGTACAGATTATAGTGTGTGACTCAAGTGCCTGAGATACCCAACTCCCATGAAAAAGACTGAGCAAAAGGAGGGCTGGGATGGCATTAAGGCTGAACTCTAATTAACAAGAAACTTGTTATCAGAAAGGAGTTCATTTGCTTGGAAGTGAGGAACATGGGGACCCCAAATCAAGAATATGTTAGTGTGCCTCCAAGCCTGCCTTTAAAACAAAAACAAAAACCAAAAACCAAAACCAAACTCACTGCTGTCAAGTCGATTTCAACTCATAGCACTAAATGTGCTAACAGCGCCTGTCAATTTGAGCACCCTAACTATACTGCCTCGGAAACCCAAGGAGGGGTCGCTATGAGTCGGGGCCGACTCGACGGCACATGACAACAACAACAACAACAACAACTACCTTTAAGAATACATAGCTTTTTTTTTTTTTTTTTTTTTTTTACCACAATAAATAAGATAAAGAATACCAAATAATAGTTTGCTACACTTATCTTGGCTAAAGCACTTGACTGCTAACCAGAAGGCTGGCGGTTCAAACCCACCAGCCACTCCTCGGAAGGAAGGTTGGGCAATCCTACTTTCGTAGTGATACTGCCTTGGAAACCCAAGGAGGGGTCGCTATGAGTTGGGGCCGACTCGAGGGCAAATAACAACAACAACATCTTGAAATTAATCCAACAAACTTCTGCTTTATAATCTGGCTTCCAATATTGTTTTCAGTTCTCACTGAATGCAGCTTTGCTAAAATAAAGGAGAGAAGATACCAACACCCCAATGTGAACCATCAGGCGCTCTTGGCAGCTGTTTACTCTAGAAACAAATGACCTGGCATTTGACCTATGTATCTGCCTCCCATCAGTCTGATTGGTGTGGGCCAATCGTAACTCATCCAATTATTGAATGCCTTCAAAATACCAAAGGGTCTCTGGTGGCGCAGTGCCTAAGGCATTTATATGACTGCTAACTGGAAGGTTGGCAGTTCAAATCCACCAGCCACTCTGTGGAAAGAAGACTGGGCAATCTACTTCCCTAAACATTTACTGCCTTGGAAACCCAAAGGGGGTCGCTATGAGCCGCAATTGACTCGATGGCAGTGAGTTTGGTTTTGATTCCATACACCAGGCAATAAGCTCTGACAAGTTTCTGAAACTACAAATGTGTCATCAGAACCCTAACTCTGCCATAGTACCTCCTACCACCCTGAAGACCCCTGGTTGTGTGGTTCACAATCTCCCTTACATGACTATTTCAACCAGCTTCCAACCACAAGGAACTGAACTTTTATGGCAATATTGACTGGTTTGCCTTGTAAAACCTCTTATTAAAGTGCTCACTGTGTGTCAGATGCCATGATAATCACCGTACAACTGACGTCTCTTCTAATCTTTGAAATCCGTCCCATTATTAATTCTATTTCACAGATAAGGCCATCCAGGCTGGTAGAGATTAAGTAACTTGCCCTGACTCCCACTGGGAAGCTGTGGGGGGAAACTAGGCAACCTGAATTTGTACCTATTCTTTTAATCAGTTTTCTAAACAATATCCAAACAAGTTTCCCTGCGTCCACTCTCACTCAGTAAGTAATAGCTAGAGTGATTTTTCTAAACACAAAGAAGTTCATGTCATTTTGCTAATTAAAATCTTTCAGTGGTACACCCCATCACAAATAAGATAAAGTAGGACACAAAGTATTTAGTATCCAGGCTCAGCCATACCTCCAGCCTCATCTCCCATTTTCCCCATCCAGGAACTTTCCATCATGCTACACTTCATGTCTGTAATCTCCCCTCGCGTCCATGCTGGGACACCTGACAATCCCTTAGGAATCCGCTCAGGACCCCTCCCCCCACATCCGTTACTTCTATCTACCCCTGAATTACACAATGCACGGTGACGATCTACGTCCCCAACCAGAATGTGAACTTGATGCGAGGAATAAATACATTTCATTCTGTAGCTCTAGCGCCTAGTCAGACATACTCAATACATGCACGCTGAACAAATGAGTTGAATTCTAACTCTAAGCATTCTTTCACTCTCCCGTTTCCTCCTCCCCATTCATTAGGCCCTGGAAGACTCTAGTTCACGGTCACCAATTTCACATCCCCCTTTTCTGTAACTCCATCTCAGCTCCTCACTTTTTTCAATAGTCTGAGCCTTTCCTCAGGTCCACCAGGCACTCCTACGGTTCTAGTGCCTCCTCAGAAACCCTGGACTTACATCTATTCAGCAAAAGTTTATTTAGTGCCTACTGGGTCCCAGGCACTGTGGCGACATAGGTGTTGGGAGAAGCGGTTCTACCCTCTCCCCCACCAAGCGACCAGGGCCTCTATCGCTCGACTGCAGCTTCCTTTACTCCATCCCGACTTACATCCCGGGTTCGGGTCTTCTCTCCTCAGAGAGAGCGGCTGCGGCCTCCATCGCCAGGAACGGCCCCAACCCACTGCTTCCTCCCCGATCAGCCGCCGTCTTCCCTCTACAACAAACGCAGAAGCTCCCAAATTGTCCACCCTTGACCTCTCACCATGATGCCGGTTCAGATGGCTACGATTCCTGCCGGATTCGCCTCTGCAGAGGCCTAAAGGCCACTCGACAGCCCGATTCCCGCCGCCGCTACCGGAAATACAACCGCTGGTAAAAAGCGATCCGGTAGAAACCTACTTCCGGCGCTTGAGTTCCGGGCGCGGCGCCGCTTAGTGAGTTCACTGCGGGGGCGGGGTTTCGGGAAACCGTTAACATCTGTCTTTGAACTTGCTGAGAGCGTTATGCTCCACTTTGGACATCTTTCTTACTTAATTAAATCACTCACTGGCGTCAAGTAGATTTTGACTCATAGGGAGCCCTCCTTGGGTTTCCGAGGTGGTACCTCTAGGGAAGTAGATTGCCGGACCTTCCTCCCGAGGAGTGGCTGGTGGGTTTGAACCGCAGACCTTCTGGTTAGCAGTCAAATGCCTTAGGCACTAGAAATCCTGTAGGACAGTTTTCTGTCCTATAGGGTGCCTGTGAGTCAGAATTGACTCTACAGCAGTGGGAAACACTATATACTTTTGTTATTTTATTACGCTCCCCTGCCACTAGCTCCATGAGGGTAGGATTTTTCCTTGTGTATTGTCACAGTTGCAGTGCCTAGAACAATGCTTAACAGAAAATAGGGACTCAGTACATATTTGTTGAATGAATAAATTAATCTTACCCAATCTTATGACTGAAATATACCTATGTGCTAAGAACTTCCAGATTTTTCTTTAATCCTGATTTCTCCATTCAGTTTGATGTGGATGTCTAATGTTGTTGTTTTGTGTCCTCAAGTTGATTTCAACACTGGCAAGCTCACTGGCGGAGTACAACTGCCTCATAGAGTTTTCTGGGCTCTAATCTCTATGGGAGATCACCAGGTCTTTTTTCCCAGGAGCTGCAGGATGGTTTTGAGTTGCTGGTTTAGTTAACAGCTGAGTGCTTAATCATTGCACCACCAGGCAGCTTGTAATGTCTAGTAGTTATATTAAATGTAACATGTTGAAACATAATTCAAGATTCTATTCACTCTTCTTCCTCCACTAACTTCCTCACCAGTATTCCCCATCTTGGAAGAGGGCAACACCAGCATTGAGAAGTTAAAAAAAAAAAATTCCAAATTGGTAGAATCCTTGATTCCTGTCTTTCTTTGCCATCTCACAATCAATCTGTCAGGAATTCCTCTGGGCCCTGCTTTCACAATCTCTGGAATCTGATTGTTCTAACCCACTCTATTGCTGCCACCCTAGCTGCACCTCGTCCTTGCCTTCTCCCTCTCATGGTTGAGCGAGCCTCCAACTGGTCTCTGCTTCCACTTTTGCTCTCATAGCAGCCAGAGGGACCCTTCTATAATGTACTGGAATTCTGTCAGCTGCTGTCACGCCCTGCTCCCCACCACCCAATGACTTCCCACTGCACATGCAATAAACTAGCCCTGCATGGTCAGGCTGCTGCCTCCTTCTCCAATTTCATTTCTTTCAACTTTTCCCTTCATTCGTCATGCTCCAGCCATGTGTTGTTCCTCAAACTCAGCAAAGAAAGCTTCTACCCCAGGGCTTTACTCCTACTCCTACCCTTCAGATATTCATATGGCTGGAGACTTTACTGCCTTCAGGTCTCCGTTCACATACTTCTCCTTAGAGAGGCTTTCCCTAGCCAAAGTTATACCTATCATTCTGTCCCCTTACCTTACTTTATTTATTTATTTTTTTTCAGTATCACTCATCACTCTAAGGAGCTCTGGTGGTACACCAGAAGGTTGGTGGTTCAAACCCACCAGCCACTTCACAGAATGAAGATGGGGCAATTTACTTCTGTAAAGATTTACCACCTCGGAAATCCAAAGGGGGTTGCTATGAGTTGGAATCGACTTGACACCTGTGGGTTTATCGCTCTAATTTTAGTGTATACCATTCATTTTGTTTCTTTTTTGCCTTTCTCATTAGAACGTAAGTTCAAGGAGGGAACAAGGAGCCCTGGTGGCACAATGGTTAAGCACTTGGCTGCTAACCAAAAGGTTGGTGATTGAAACCCACCAGTTGCTCCTCAGGAGCAGTGTGTTTCCATAAAGATTACAGCCTTGGAAACTCTATGGGGCACTTTTACTCTGTCCTATAGAGTTGCAGTGAGTCAGAATCAACTTGACAGCATTGGGTTTCCAGGAGGGAACAGTGCCTGACCTTGTTGTTGTTGTTGTGTGCCATCGAGTTGGACCCGACTCATAGTGACCCCTCCTTGGGTTTCCGAGGCGGTATCACTACAAAAGTATATTGCCCAACCTTCCTTCCAAGGAGTGGCTGGTGGGTTTGAACCGCCAGACTTCTGGCTAGCAATCAAGTGCCTTAGGCACTATGCTACCAGAGCTCCTGTGCCTGACCTTAATAGGTGCTAAATAAGAATTTTTGAATGTATGCGTAAATGATGCGTCAGGAGGCAGGGTAACTTGGGGGCAAGAGAACATCTGAGGAGCCAGATAGACCTAGATTCTAGTTCTGGCTCTGCCACTTATTCACTGTGTAACCTTAGGCAAGATTACTCATCTCTCTGAGCCTCAGTCTCTTTGTTTAATAGAAACAGCACACCAGGACATACCTATTTGAGGTGGTGTGAGGATATGAGAATGGATGCTAAGTTTTTAGAATAGTGCCTGACAGTAGTAAGCATTCAGTAAAATAGCTGTTGATAATAATTATAACTCAGAGATCCCTGTATTGGCACTGAATACTTTTGACATTTATTTCTGGTCAGGTGTGTGTGTGTGTGTGTTGAATACTTTTGACATTTATTTCTGGTCAGGTGTGTGTGTGTGTGTGTGTATGACTTAACTTGGAGGTAAAAGGATTGTGATGTGATTCACTTTGTAGTAGAGTAGGAATTCACCAACACTTTTAGAAAAGTGTAAAAGTTTAACCTAGCACTAGAAATACAGTATAGTTTAAACCAGAGAGGCACAAAGTGAACATAAATTCACTAAGTGTTCTGTTGTTGTTGTTGTTAGGTGTCATTGAGTTGGCTTCAACTTATAGTGACTCTTTGTACAACACATTGAAACACTGCCTGGTCCTGCGCCATCCTCACAATCCTTGCTACACCTGAGCCCATCGTTGCAGCCACTGTGTCTATCCATCTCGTTGAGGGTCTTACCCTTTCTTGCTGACCCTCTACTTTATCAAGCATGATATCATTCTCCAGGGAATGGTGCCTTCTGATAAAAAAAAAAAAAGTATTCTAGAAAATAGGTTTTTTTTTTTTTTTAAATGGAGGTTTAAAAAGGCAAGAACTCAAGTAGAGGGGTACAGCTAAAGCCTTGGTCAATATTTATAGAGATGGAGGGAGAGGGAGATTAGAACTAGGTTGTGGAAAAGTGCAGAGCTTAGTAAGAACCTAGAAAAAGAATGTTTGAGTGGGGCTGATGGTTGCTTTTGGAGAATTGGCTGACCACTAAAGTTATGTTTCCTGGAACATTTTAAAGAAATTAATCTACGCAGATCATTTAGACACCTACAGCCTATTTTCTGAGAACAGCAAAACAAGTAACTATTTCTGGAAAGGGTGAAGCATCCAAGATGTGTTCAAGTCTATCCTTCACTGAGAAGCCTCAGTCAAGTCAAGAGCCTTGATTTTGGAATGGTCTATCACAACTTTTACACTCCCAGTCCCTCTTATGGTTTCTGGCTTGTAGCAGGCAGCAGCAATTCCTACTCAATGAATGAGAATTAGTGAAATGGTGGCTATTTAGGAAATAGAAAGTTAAAATGATGGATTGCAATATAGTCTGGGACAAAGGAATGTGGTTTATGCAAATAATAATAATAGCACAGAGGTTAAAGCATGGGCTTTAGTACTGGCTTCTCTGCTTACTCACTGAGGTATAGTAGTTAACATATCTGTACTTCAGAATCCTCATCTGTAAAATGCAGATAGTAACAGTACAATCTTGATAGGATTGTTGAGAGAATTAACTGACATAATACAATCAAGAAGCGCAGTGCTAGGACTGACATGGGGTAAGCAGTCAATAAACATTAACCACTACTGCAAAATTGGCTCAGTTATCTTTTGCTGAGAAGCAACCCACTCCACTCCCCAAAGTCACTAGCTTAAAACAGCAACAATGTCTAGTTGATTGGGGCCATCAATCTTCTGTTGTTCTCATCTTAGATCACTCAGTTATTTGGCAGATAGACTAAAAAAAAAAAAAAAAAAGTTTGGTTTCCAAGGTGGTAAACCTTTACGGCAATAGATTGCCCAGTCTTAGTTCCAAGGGGTTGATTTGAACCACCAACCTTCTGGTTAGCAGTCAAATGCCTTAGGCATTATGCCACCAGAGCTCCCTCACTTGTATGTGTGGAGGTGCTAGCTATTGGCTGAACTTCTCACTCTCCAGGTGGCTAGCCCATGCTTCTAAACATTATGGTCTCAGGACAGCAAGACGATAAAAACAGAAGCTACAAGGTCTCATGAGGCCTAGGTTCAGAAGTTATACAGCATTGTTTCTGCCACATTCCACTGTTGGAAAGCTGTGTTTATGGGAGTCCTTTTAATTCGTCCCCCCTATCTTCTGCTTCCAGTCAATCACCAACTGCTTTTAAGACAAACCCTAAAAAGTCTAATCTTCTCTTTCAGTCCACACTGCTGTTGCTATAGTTCAGGCACAAATTTTGCCTGAACAATTGCAACACTTTGGACTTCCCAAATCTATCCCAGTCTCCCCATGCTGTTCAAGCCTTATCTTTCATTCTCTTAAGATATTACCCAAAGCCAGAAGAACTAGATGGTGCCCGGCTACCACTATCATCCACTTGGAAGGGATGTAGGAGATCCTGCATAGAGGGGGAGAACAATGTGGAACAAAACTCAAAATCATTTGGAGGCAAAAAAAAAAAAAAGAAGGTGGGGACCAGATTTGCTGGTCCAATAGAGCCTGGTGGAACCACTGAGACTATGGCCCCTAGCTGCCCTTCAGGTCTGGTATTGAACCCACACCTGTGGTTTCCAGCCAAACAAAGTACAGGCATGTGAGTTAAACATTTACCTCAAGTAGACACACACCCTGGAGAGAACAATCATGGGAGAGGGAAGGGCTGCTTTTGCACAGGGAGATAGCTCAGGGTGCAGAAGAGTATGGAGGGATGAACACTGGGAAGAGGTAACTATGGGGAGGAAGTGGGAGGGGAGCTGTTGCATTGTAAATTTTGGTCAATGACATGAGACAAAGTATATGTGAACTGCTGTATGAAAAGTGAATTTACTCTGTAAATCTTCACCCAAATCAAAATAAAATTAAAAAAAAAAAAGATATTACCCAAAGCATGTCTGCAATCCCCATGTAATTCCTGTATTGATATATTTAGCAGAAAATTCTCATGTTTCAAAGTTTAGGTAGAAAATGCCAGTCTTGCAACATTAATTTATTCTTTAAGACTGTTACAGGTTGAGCTCCTCTCTCAGAAGACAAGCCAGTGTCTTTGAGCACTAAACTTAGAAGGTACAGGCCCTGATATTTTTACCCTAGGTTATTAGCACAGACACAAAAGGGATGCAGTTAAGACAAAAACTATTCCAAGTAGCATTAAAATTCATCAAAGTAAGCTCTTTCCCTCCCAGTCAAAAAATAGCCTTCTAGTTCCCAAACGGAGTGGAAAGTAGGGGAAAGGGGGAAACCAATGACCAGCTGCTTTCCACACCATTACAATTACTGGCTCAAATATTTCCATACTAAAGTTCACATTCATTTTTCATAATCCACCACCACTGTTCAGAAAACTCTGCTAAAATCAACATGAAAAAGACAATTCTGAAACTGAAAGTGAGGAATAACAGAGGGTCCTGAATTCAAGGTCACAGCTCAAAGAAAGTGCAGAGCTCTTGGACAATGAAAATGCCACAAAGGGGTGGGGCTCAACAGCTTTTTGGGGGGAGGTCAACTGATGAGGCCAGCAAGGATGCCATGAAGCGACTGGAGTGTGAGCTTCCTGATTTTCCAGACACCTCCCCCCCAATCTGGGTGTGTTCCCTCATGAATAGGACTCTGAAGGCATTTGAGTTTGAGACCACTTACCTCATGCCAGACATAAGCCATTGGCTCCTAACACAAAATCTAAGCTCATCTTCCCTGGGCACCAGAGTCCAAGGGACCAGGGCATTTGAACTCCCCTTCTGCAGCCCTTCCCCTGCTTCCCTCTGGGATGGAGTGGTCGGGACCAGATTCCAGCAGACCTCTTGGGGAGACAAAAGAGGAAGTGAGCGGCAGTCTGGGGAAGCCTCTTGCCAGATCTGTCCCTTCCCTCTGCTAGGCTAGTGTGGATCGTCCATTTCCTGGGCATGGCTGAAGTTGCAACAGGTTATGGGGGATTTGGGTAACGAAAGTCTGCACCATTTTTTCTTTGTTTCCATCCCAAGGAATGTGTTGGTTTTTTTGATTGCATCCTTCACGATGGTAGCAAAGAGGCCTTGGGGTTATCTGGAACCCTTCCTCCCTTTTCAAACAGCTGTTGTTGTTGTTGTTAGGTACCAATTCTTTTGCAGACTTCTAGAGATTACGTGTTTATATACACATTCCCTATGGCTTCCACTTCTGACCAGTAACAGTGTTGGTGTTATGGAGGGAAGTTCTGGCAAAAGGACATTAGGGCAAATGTGGCAAAGGGTGAGGGGCCCACATTCCTTGGCACTCCCACCTGTGCAAGGCAGGATCCCCTATGAAGCTGACGTCAGGGTGAGGGAGAGTAGGTAGAGGCTGTGGTTTCTCAGACATTTTCCCATGCCCTGCTTTGATGGGGTGTCAAAAACACTCTGTGCTTTTTCTGATTCTCAAAGTCTTATATCCACTTGATATACCTGGCAAAATCTACTGGGCACACAAATTTGCCGGGGCCTGGGCAAACCCACTCCAGTGAACAGTTACTGCCCCAGAGCACAGGGGTAAGAACCAGGACACGCAGAGCTGACAAAAAAAAAAAAAAAAAAATTAGGTAATTTGGGCTCTTAAAGAGGAGGTAGAGAGGGTTGTGGCTAAAGGGCTAGGTCCTTAGAGTGAAATACAAGGAAGTGGTATAGCTGGGTTCTCTCAGAGCAGCTGTTAGAATGATGTGGGAGAGTCACTAACAGGACTGGGTTCCATGATCAGAAGGCTGAGGGGACATAACTAATGGTCCTTACACCTGGTATTAGAAATGTGTTTGTTGTTGTTATGTGCTATCAAGTCGGAGTCAACCCATAGCGACCCCTCCTTGGGTTTCCGAGGCAGTATCGCTACGGAAGTAGATTGCCCAACCTTCCTTCCGAGGAGTGGCTGGTGGGTTTGAACCGCCAGCCTTCTGGTTAGCAGTCAAGTGCCTTAGGCACTACACTACCAGAGCTCCCAGGAATATGTTTAGGGGGTCTTTACATCTACCATTGTTGATGTGACAAGGGGAGTAGCCAAGAGGCCCAAAGCAACAAGACAGAACAGTTTGGGCAGGGTTAAAGGATCTGACCCTGGAATCTAGAAGGCTGTTGGAAAGCTGACTTCAAGGTGAGGGAGAGTGGGCAGTTAAGAGGACCCTGGAGCTGGGACTGGAACTGAGCATTAGGGAACAGCAATACATTACAGGTGGAGAACGGTCTAGCAGACCTGAATGGAGACTAGAATAGAAGGAAAACCAGGGAAGGGAGCTTTCACAGAAGCCAACAGAAGGCAGTTACAGAAAAAAGGAATCAGTCAGAGAGGAGACCCCTGGAGATGTGGGACATTCCTTCCCTTTACCTGGCTTCCATCTCCAAAACCTGGATCACTCCTCTCCTCAAGCAAAAGATCAGATTCTCTGACAAATTTACTAAGGATTTATTTTTTCTTAAGGGTTGAATTCACTCAATTTGGAGAGAGAATTTGAATTCTAGGTACCTTTCAGGACAGATGAGTAACACAGCCTGAATAATAGTTTATTAAAAAAAAACTTTACCACAGTGAAAGGACAACAATGCATGGGAAAGAAGTGGTGTATAGATATAAAACAAGTCAACCATTCTTAGATAAGTAAAAAGTCTAGTTTTCTATTCCATTTGGGTACAAAATATGTGTCTAGTTACTACCAACACCTTCACCCACATACACAGTATAGGTGGTCAGCAGACTTCTCCTGAAACTCCCTCCCAGGTAGGTGAAGTATGTATGATTTGTGATGACAGAATTTTGTCCTCTGAAGTCAGTTGAGGACCACACTGGAATGAAGTTCAGCCCACAGACCCTGCCCATACAGCCTTCTCCCTCAGTGTCTCTTCTGGTGCAAGGGGAGGTGTAACTGACTGCTACAGCACCTCACATTCTCACTGCCCACATAATGCTTCTTGCCCCCCAAAAAATGCTGTTCGTGGATGTATACTGAAGTGTGCCTTTTTCCCAAATTCTTGCCGATTCTCCCTGCACATGCAGAGCATCGATGTATGTTGTTGTTGTTATGTGCCATCAAGTTGGACCTGACTCATAGCGACCCCTCCTTGGGTTTCCGAGGCAATGTCACTACGGAAATAGATTGCCCAACCTTCCTTCCAAGATCTATGTATGAGGGGGAGTGATTTACAGTTAAAGCACTGGCCATGCTCATTGCAAATTTCACGCTTCTCATCTGAGTGTGTCTTCTGATGTCTGACTTCTGGCTAAAACTTCAGCCATAATCACTGCAAACATAGGGCTTCTGCCCTGAGTGAGCCCACTGATGTCTACTGTTGTTGTTGTTGTTGTTGTTATGTGCCGTTGAGTCAGCCCTGACTCATAGCGACCCCTCCTTGGGTTTCCGAGGCAGTAGGCTCTGCTTATAGCTAAAGCCTCGCCCACATTCCTTGCACACATGTGACTTTTCCCCAGAGTGTGTCCTCTGGTGGAGAAGGAGGCCTGCCTTCTGGCTAAAGCCTCACCCACACTCCAGGGACACACAAGTTTTCTCACCTGAGCGTGTCCTCTAGTATCTGATGAGATTTGACTTACTGTTAAAGCCTCACCCACACTCACTGCAGACATAAGCCTTCTTGCCTGTGTGTGCCCTCTGGCACATAAGGAGGACTGATTTCTGGGTAAAGCCTCAGCCACACTCACTGCAAACATAAAAAGCATCTCACCTGAGTATGTCCGCTGATGTTTGGTGAGGTCTGACTTCTGGCTAAAGCCTCTCCTATACTTCTTGCACATGAACAACTTCTTCCCTGAGGGTGTCCTCTGGTGTATAAAGAGGCTTGATTCTCAGTTAAAGCCTCAGGCATACTTAAGGTTTCTCACCTGAGTGTATCCTCTGGTGTCTCACAAGATTTGATATGCAGTTAAAGCCTCAGCCACACTCCTTTGCATACATGGCTTCTCACCTATCTGCATCTTATGGTATATAAGGAGGTGTGATTTCTAGTTAAAGTCTTGCCCACACTCCTTGCACACATGTGGCTTCTCCTCTGAGTGTGTCCTCTGGTGCTGAAGGAGGCTGGACTTCTTGGTAAAGCTTCGGCCACACTCACTGCAAACATACAAAGCTTCTCATCTGAATGTCTCCTTTAGTGTCTGATGAGATTTGATTTAAGGTTTAAGCCATGCCCACAGCCCAGCCATATATAAGATTTCTCACCTGAGTGTGCGCTGTGTTGTCTGATGAAAGCTGACTGATACCTGAAGCTTCGTCCACACTCACTACAAACAGGGCTTCTCCCCTAAGAGTGACCTCTGGTTTGTGATCAAGTTGGATTTCAGGCCGCAGTCTGGGTCATCCTCTCTGTAGTTGACTGTTCCATATGTTGAGGTTTCTAGTTCCTTCAGCCCTTTGTCTGTTTCCACAGAGTTTACCATTTCAGCTGAGCTGGGCTCTATGCCTACCACTGCGCTGTCTTCTCTAGGGCTTGTGGACAGCCTTTGGGGTGGGCTGGAGAACGCCCTTGAAGTCTCTCTGTCCCCTGCCCTCCCACACAAGGGTTTGCAGACTTCTTCTCTCTCTTGACCTTCTGTGCTTTCACTGCAGCAGCTTTGATCAGAATCCTGCTGCTCCGGCTGCTTCTGACGCCCTGGGCTGGAATCCCCTGGATGGAAGTGATTTTCCGCACAGAAGCCTGGGAAGATCTGAAGCACATGGGGGCTGAGGAACTGCTGACAGGAGAATGCCAGAAGGCAGGAGGAACAGGGGTAGACTTCTGGCTTTGGTTCTGTGAAGAGAGAACGTTTTCCGTTGGTAGCCACAGAACATGCCCACTCTTGAGACAGACTCCTAAGAGCCTATCACATAGGACTTCTTTTATGGCAACTCATTACTGGAGTCCCTAGGTGGCACAAACAGTTAAGCACTCAGTTACTAGCCAAAAGTTTGGTAGTTTGGAAGATAGGCCTGGCAATCTGCTTCTGAAGGTCACAGCCTTGAAAACCCTATGGAGGAATCTACTCTGCACACATGGGGTCACTGTGACTTAAAATCAACTCAAAAGCAAGTAACAACAATGCCACAGTTGTGTATATACAACACAAGTTGTTCCCCAACAAGAATTAATTTATATAACATTTTTAAATATTAGATTTTCTTTTGTAATCCAGAAGGAGTCCTGGTGGCACAGTGGTCACAATGCTCAGCTGCTCGTCAAAAGGTCAGTGATTCGACATCACCATCAGCTCCTGAGGAGAAACATAAGGCAGTCTAGACTTACAATTGTAAAGATTTATAGCCTTATATAACATATTCCACAAACATTGTTCCACATCCTACTTTGGTGAGTAGTGACTGGGGTCTTCAAAACTTGCAAGTGGCCATCTATGGTGCAGTTGTTGGTATCTTCTCATCCAGAGCAAAGAAAAGGGAAGAAGATCAAGCATGCATGGGCACAATTAGTCCAAGGGACTGATGAACCACACGAACCTCAGCCTCCGTGACCCTGAGACCAGAAGAATTAGATGGTACCCAGCTACCACTGCCAGTCACTGTGAAAGGGATCACATTAGGAGATCCTGGATGGAGTGGGAGAAAAATGTAGAATAAAACTCAATAAAGACCAGGCTTACTGGTAGAATAGAGACTGGTAGAGCTTCTAAGACTATGGCCTGGTCCCCTCACTTCAAGCCTGAAACTGAACTCACTCCTGGGGCTCAACTTTCAGCTAAGCAATAGACAGACCTATGAAGTGAAGAGTAACAACACCAGGGAAGTACACATTCATTATGGGGAAAAAGAAATCTTAGACACCCTATAGGGCAGTTCTGCCATGCCCGACAGGGTCACTATGAGTCACTATTGACTGGACAGCAGTAGGTTTGGGTATTACAATCTAGATAATCCACACCCCAAAACCTCTTCAACATGTCAGCCAGACTAGGAACTTCTCGAGTAACCATCAGACACTGCTTCTGCTTTGTAAGCAACTTCTATTATAGTTAGACTTTTGCTTCTACTAAAACCCTCTTTTCACTCACCTCCTATGCATGCGAAAACTGGACAATTAGACTCAGGAAGAATTTATGCATTTGAATTATGGTACTGGTGAAGAATACAAAATACACTGTCAGAAGAATAAACAAATCTGCCTTGGAAGAAGTACAGCCAGAATGCCCCTTAGAAGTGAGGGTGGCAAGACTTTGTCTCACCTCCTTGGGATATGTTATTGGGAGAGACCTGTCCCTGGAGAAGGACATTATGCATAATAAAGTAGAGGGTAACTAACAAAGAGGAGACCCCCCCCCAACATGGATTGATACACTGTCTGCAACAATAGGCTCAAACACAGCAACAATTGTGAGGATGGCTCAGGACCAGCAGTATTTTGTTCTTTTGTACATGGGGTCACTATGAGTAAGAACCAACTCGATGGCCCATAACAACATCCTAAGAAGTTGTGAAATTCAGTTAGTAGTAATTGTGTCACCAGAACCTGTGTAACTTCAGGGGGATAATGAGGAGCCAACTTGATGGCACTTAACAAAATTCTTTAAACCATAGACATATTGATATAGACTGCCCATAACACTTTGCTATTATTTGGAAATAACAGTTTTTATGACTTTGGTGGAAATCTCCTACATGACTTTTCTTATTATAAAAAGGACTGATAGACATAAAAAGTGACTCAGTCTGGTGGTCTTCCAGATGTGACAGAGCATGTGAACTGTCCAACTTCAGGTGAGATAATCATCAGGGTTGGCCCAAAGCTGATTCCCCTGAGGTGGAGGTGAGATATACCTCAACATTTTCATAAATTTTGACACTAGCTGCCCTCTGGACAGCACTCTCTGATTCTCTTCTGGGTTTGACAATATGTTGCAGTGGCCACACAGAACTCACAGGGCACAGTTATAGTTAAGTGGTTTGTTAAGTGATGGTGTACAACTCAGGATCAGGAACAATAGACTACAACTCAGGATCAGGAAGCATGTAGGCAGAGTCTCACTTCTTCAGTGTAGGACAGTTCTGTCACCTCCCCTCAATCAGGTGGGCCTCCTCTGAGCCCCAAGGATAGGCTTCTCTTAGCCCTGCTGTCTGTTGCCACTGGTTCTGCCATTGGGCCCCTCACAAGCCTGTTGCCGCTGACTCTGCCAATGTACCTCTTCTGGGCTATTTTGAGTGATACAGCCCTTGACTCATGTTATAGCTCTTTTAGGAGGTTCCTTGCCTCCTCTCTGCTTCTTCTACCTTCTTTTTTCTTTTTCCTTCTTCTTGCTGTTTCTTTCTATGTGGAGTTGGCTGCTTATATATACAAACTCCTTATCAGTTTCAAGGCATGGGCCTCCCACCAAGGCCATGAACTGACCAATCCCCTCTCTGTAGGCCACAGACACTTCATTTGCATAGTAGGCTACACACTTTATTTGCATGGTTTATTGACCAATCCCTACAAGGTGCATACCATTCACAGGGTAGGCTGCAGCCTATGACCAAATAAAAAGTTTCTAAACCAATTTGTTTACAGCTAACCCAGGAAATGTATCAGACCCTCTGGGGTAGAAAACTCGGCCCTTATCCTTCCAGAAAGATCCCACACATATCTCTAGATAATCAGTTTTACTACTTTCTGCTTTATACAGCCTGTGTTACTTTCTGCAAAAAGAAACAGATGTGTAATTTTCTTATTCACTTTCATTATTTTTTGTTGTTGACAATATACACAGCAAAACACACAGCAATCCAGCCATTTCTACAGGTACAATTTAGTGACATTGATTACATTGGTCAATTTGTACTTTTCTCACCTGCTTTTTCTAAGTTGTTCCTCTCCTATTAACATAGATCCACTACCCCATAAGGTTCCTATCTATTCTTTGAGTTGGTGTTGTCAACTTAATCCCATATACATAGTTTTTTTTTTATTTTATTGTGATTTGGGTGAAGATTTACAGAGCAAATTCACTTTCCATACAGCAGTTCACATGTACTTTGTCTCATGTCATTGACCACAGTTTACCACAATGCAACAGCTCCCCTCCCACTTCCTCCCCATATTTACCTCTTCCCAGTGTCCATCCCTCCATA